CTCCGCAGTTCCAGCACTTTAGAATTAGTTTCTTTTCACTTCTGTTCCGTCTCAAGCCACTGACTTGTCTGGTAAAATCATCTGCTTTATATTCCGTACCCTGGGGTGTTCTGCAATTCCGTCTTAGGTGACCTTCACTACCACATCTCCAACACCTTATAGCCACTTTCTTCTCGCTCCTACTCCGTATCAAATCTTCGACTTGTCTGGCTAAATCATCTAAACGAGCCATCAGTTGATCCACTGGCTCATGGACTCGCACAGCTCTAACTGGGTAGCGATCTCTACTAGTTGCTTGCTGGGCTGCCTCGAACTTCATGGCGTACAACAGAGCGCTTTTTATGTCCTTTACATCTGCCATTCGAAGAGCTTTCTGTATTTCAGTATCTCGGATGCCGTCGATAAAGTATTGTAAGGACAGGATTTCCCTTGTTTCTGTCGGGCATTCCGAAAAGGCGAGATGGGACAGCCTTTCAACATCCGCGGCGAGCTCCTGAAGTGTTTCGGTAGGCTTCTGTTGACGAGATTTTAATTGGAGCCTGCTGTAGTCTTTTAAACATTTCTCGCCGAAGCGCAGCTCCAATGCGTCGGATAGAGCTTCGAAATCTAGCCTTTGATTTTCGGGAAGCGTCTGCAGGATATCCGCTGCGTCTGCTCTCAGAGAAGCGGCGAGATGACAGGCCTTAGCTTGGGAATCCCACCCATTCGCATCCGCAACGATAGAAAATTGTGTCCTATACACCTGCCAGGAGGTCTTCCCATCGTATGTAGATAGTTTCAGAACGAAACGAGCAGGCATCGATAAAAATTTGAAACCTTCAGAATTGTTTCCTACCGTCGCTATGCACTTCTTTAGGCTGTCAACGTCTTTGGCGACGGCAGCAGAAACCCTATCATCAATTTGTTGTTCGACGGCAGAAACCCTCTCTTCTATATGTCCAACTTTAGTTTCAACCGCGTCTATTCTGTCTTCCATAGCCTCAAATTTATTTTCTATTACGCAGGTAATTTCTCTTTTCATTTCGTCCTGACCTGCTTTCATCTCATTTTTAAGGGATTTCATCTCTTCCTTAACGGATTCCTGGCCCAATTTCATTTCTTCTTTAACGGACCTTTGACCAGCATCCATTTTCTCTTTAATTTCTTCTTTAAAAGATGTTTGGCCAGCTTAGATCTTTTCTTGGAAAGCAGCAAAAGCAGTAATGAGTTGTCTCAATTGTTCTTCCATCGCTCTTGTTATTGGCATTCAAATCCCACTTCTGACACCAAAAATTGTTGCGTGCGTACGGGTTCGTTATGAAATGAATGCACAAGTCCGATAAAAAATAAAAAAAATGAACAAAATTTATTATTATCACAACAAAAATGCTTAAATTTTCTCAAATTATCATGCAGTATTACAATATCTCACAGTAGTTATCTTTTAACTACTCAAATATCCAATAGAACGTAATTCAAAACAGCTAAAGAACGCTAATCCGCGAATTCGCTACAATCAACAAGAGCAGTTTTCTAAACAACAACAAACTAAGCAAGCAACTACTACGAACTGAGACGTTTTCCTCCTTTTATAAGATTTTAAAATCACGCGCTAGAATTTTCCAGTACTTTCTAGATTTCAAAAAGAGATTTATTTATTTAACGCACGCGCTCTTGTATTTTTAATTTTTCCGGCTTAGCTTTCTTTTAATATTCGTCACGCGCTGCACTGCGCGAGAAATAAAACCATTTAATTTATAATTGAACTAACATTAGCTTTTTAAATATCAAATTCGTAACAATACTTTAATTCTAAAATTCATTGTGAAATTTGGGCCTGTTAAGAGAAATCGGTTTCTTTATGTACGTCCTGGGTTTACTGCGGTAACAAAATGAATTTGCAGCCTTTAAGCTCCTGTAGATAAGGACCGCATTGGTACCCTAGTGCAAATCACATGCATTTCTCAAGCTAAGCAATCACTAGTGCAGCACAATGGGGACAAGTATTATTGTCGATTAGGAAGAAGGTATTCACGGATTACACCTTTAAATGACTTCACATTAGGATCAAGAACTTCATCTATGTATATTTTAGCATTTATTTGTTACTGCAATGGTAAACAACTTTATCAAAAAAAAAATGTATTATATAAAAAAGACCATGAAATATGCCAATCTCTTAAGAACAGTGACGTGATAAATACGATGAAAAATTGTTGCCAAACCCAAATTTCTAAAAGAATGAAACTATTCAAAATGATGCGATTTCAGCAAAAATCTATCAACAATAAGAAAGGAAAATTGTTGCCAAAATCTTATTTTTAAAGATGTGAGAAGTGTACTCGGAAGTTTCATTTAAAATTTTTTAAAAATGCAAAATATTATCATCTTTCCAAAATTTTTTTTGTAAAACAGTCGCAAGGATAGAAGTTTAACGTTTCCAAAAATCAAAGAAAAATAAACTGTACATTTTTTAACAAACTTTTTCAGAAAAAATCCCGTTGAAAAGGTGTTAAGCTCGCTTTGTTAAATAAATTCGTATTTAATCGATTTATTGAAACACTAAATTTATTTTAAGTTCGTAAAATGGCAAAGTGCCTACGTTTCATGACGATGTGAAAACGGAGTGTGTAAAATCTCGCTTTGCTATAGCCCATTATGTATCAAAATGACGCGATTTCGTCACAAAACGTAAAATAAAAAAAATTAGAATTCGAATTTAAAAAAAATCGCTTCGAGGTACACTGGCTCTTGTCTAGATGCACCTATGTACCAAATTTCGTAGCCGTGGGTCTGTTAGTTTACGCGCAAGCAAAAGACACACACACATAGACTCTTTCTTTTATTATATGTAGAGATTAATGATGTCACATCGAAACAAAAGAATACAATTTTGTAGCTTAAGTGACAATGTTGTAACGTAGTTATTTTCTTGTCACTTAACTTTTTTATTGTATGTCATGAACTTCCTACTGGAGATTTGACTCAGTGGTTCAACATAACGTTACAGGATTTCGAGTAAAAGTATAGTTCAACATAATGTTAAAAAATGACAATTTAATAAAATTTATTACTGTTAATTTTAAATTTTAGTTATTAACAGAACTCCTATGAAGCGTTTTCAGTAATGCTTACTTTTCAGTTTAAAGTGTGAAATTCTCGTATTTCGTAACTAATGAAAACTTTAAACACGGTTGTCTCAAAAACTTCGAGTTGTGCTAGTATTCACGCGATATGAAACACTTTTTAACAGACCTAGGTATCCTGTAAATACAATAAATTTTCTGTAAGAAAAGGCTATAACGATATATCTATCGATTTGCTATAACGATATATCTATCGATTTGCTTGAAATTAAAATTCTCTACCTTATTTTAAATTATAACTTAACTAGAAATGTTTCTTTAATATGTAAGAAAAGGTAGTACACCAAGCACGAAAAACGAGACAGTTCTGTATCTCTCATTCTATTGGACCGATTGTCAAAACTTTAACTTGCATTTACAATGCCTCGAAAGATTTATATATAGCGTTATTCTAATATAGGTATTTTAACCCAAATCGGACTTTTTCTGAAATTACATACCCATCTTGCTTTTCCGTATTTCGATTCTACGACTCAAATTATGTCTAGATATTAAATTTTTTAATTTTTGGTGAGATATTTATGCAGAAATTAAAAATTACCTTGGCGCATTTTTTCGTTTTGCGCCAAGAATAATTCACTTGGCGGAATTTTTAATTTATGGCAACCCTCGCTGTGCATGAGCGGGAAAAAAGGTGCATCATTCATTCTTTCAAATAATTTTAACAAAGTGCGAAATCACACTTTGCCGTTTTATCGCTCATAACAAATATGCCAAATTTCGAAACGCACAATTATGCAAATTCACGTATCTTACGAAATTTTGAATAAAAAGCTAATATTTTGCAGGTATGCTTAAAAATGCATCTACTTCAAGATGATGAAAAAAATTTTACAGGTTATGTAGAAATTTTTTCGAAAAATTATTTTAAAATGCAAATTTTGAAAATAAATTTTAAAAAAAATCTGCGAATTTTATTTAGAATAAACCTAAATTTCGAAATGCGAAAGGAAGATTCAAGTAAGTTTAATAAAGATATCAATAAATATATATACCAAATTAAATTAACATGTAGGAGCTAAATTTTAAGAGCTAATTTTTCTGAAACTACTCGTGCGATTTTTACAAAACTTGACACTTTCGCATGGTATAATTTTCGTCTTGGAATCGAAATATGAAAAAAAATTAGTATGTTATTTCTGACAAAGTCCAATTTTGTATCAAAATACCTATGTTGGAGTAATGCTATATATAAATCTAATATATATATATCCTAAGTCGTGCTTTTGAGAGATGGAAAACGCAAGTTAAATTTCCACAATTGCTCCTTTATAACGGGAGACATAGAACTGTCCTTTTTTTGAGTTTCTGTGCAAGGTGTGGGAATTTTTCTAGCATTTTATATACTCAGATCCACAATATAGACTAAAAGTTACTTTTAAATAATTTATTAGAATGTAAGTATTAAATGAAATTTATCTTCATCGTAGATTAAAAATTACCACAGCGAATTTTTCTAACGTTTTTTCAAAGCATTGTCTCGACCGAGCGGTGCAATGCAAGATTTTTACGAAAACAACTATTAGGGTAATTTTAGTATTCTAATTTAATATTTCTGTGAATATTACTATGCAGAATGAGCCCACCAACAGCAGAGCGGTAAAGCCGCTGAACTTTGGTAGTCCGGTCTGGGGTTCGTATCTCAGCGTAACGTGTATACGAGCCAGTTTCATTTTGAAAGTCCTCCACGAAAGCATCCTTCCCCTTAGGCAGATAACCCTCGAGTGCTTTCCCATAAGCAAGTAAAATAGTCGTTATGCAGCTATGATTCAGTACTTTTTGTTTTCGTTTGTAATTTTGTAAGAAACTTTAAGCTATATTTTTTGTAACTTTACTTAAATTAATTCGAGATCTAACTGCTGATTTATATTTCAGGAAGCAAGAGCTTTCTTTCCAGAAGTAGCAGGAGGTTTTGTAAAATATAGTCGTTTGAGACCGTATACGAAGTACGAATTTGAAGTTCGTTCCAAATATGTTTCGGACAGTGAATTCATGTGGAGTTCTTACTTGACTGTTCCTGTGAGAACACTTCCCGACGGTACTCATATTTAGTTTATTACATGCCTAAATATATTCTTTCTGACTTTTTATTACTTCGCTTAAAAGGACTAACTGCCTGTATGCGTTTATAGTAGTAGCAGAGAGGCTCTTCGCATGCTTTTTGTAGACGATTTTTATTGTATTTACAAAAATATTTTACCTAAAAATTTTGCGTTTTAAATGTTCTCTTTGATATGCCTTGTTCTTCCCTATATTTCCACACCTTAATTTCGTCGAAAACTGAAAGTTGATGTGGTGAATTGAGAAAAGACAACAGAAATGTATATGATTACTTATCACGCGTTTAGACTGAGAAACCCTGTTAGTAAAAAGTCTGCAGTGCCTTTTTGAAACGTTATTTTGCTAATACTGTGATAAAATGGCATCGAAGTCGAAAGAGTTGGACGTTAATGTTAAAAACGTGATTACTCAGCTCAGAAATGAGGGTCTAACTTATCGTGCTACAGAAATACAACTGACCATAAGTCTATTTACTGTTAGAAGTGTTGTAAAAAAGTTGTTCGACGGAATCGACGGAAAATAAGATAAGTGGACGGCCTCGAATATTTTCTGCAAGGGTAAAACGTAGCATTATCAAAGAGGTTAAGAGAAACCCAAGTGCATTCCAGTTAGCCAAAGATGTTGCTAATACTTCGCATAAAACATTAGTGTACAGACTATACAGAATGTTGTACATGAACTTAATATGAAAGGCCAGTTAGAAAGATGCCTTTCATTTCTGAAATAAACATGAGAAAGAGATTAGATTTTTCAATATCTCATGTGAATTTAACAGACTAATTTTAGAATAGTTATTTTCTCAGACGAATCAAAGTTTAACTTTTCCGGGAGCGATATGTGGAGAAAGACTAGCTTCGAAATGGAAAAACATTTAGCACCGACTGTGAAATGTGGCAATTCGGGGCTGTATGGCAGCACACCGCCCCAACAAACGGAGCTGGTAATCTGTGCTTCATTGATGGTATTATGACAGCACGTACGTACATTGACGTATTGCGCCATAACTTCAAATTCAGTGCCCCAAAACTTGGCTTAGGACCATCATTCGTGTTTCAACAAGACAATGACCCTAAGCGTACAGCGAACCTTACCTAGGAGTAATTACTCTAACGCTCCTTGCCAGTTAAAGACACCGCCTCAATCCCCTGACATAAGCCCACCAGCGGCCGAGCGGTAAAGTCGCTGAACACTGGTAGTTCGGTCCGAGGTTCGAATCCCGCGAACGGGCTGGCTGCATGGGTGTTTTCGTGGTTTTCCCCATGTGTAACGTGTATACGAGCCAGTTTCCCTTAGAAAGTCCTCCACGAAGGCATCCCTTCCATTAGGCAGATAGCCCTAGTGTGCTTTGCCATATTTAAATACACCACCAATCCCCTGACATAAATCCAATTAAAAATTATGAAATTTGAACAAATAAAAAAATTTTGAAGAGAACTTTACCTCCGATGAATGCACGATCCAAACTCCGACATTTTTTTGGAAAGGTAAAAAAAAAAGTTTCATGATTACAATATTCTTTGTTCCCCTCTCACCCAACTCTATAATGGCCTTGAAGCGCAAAAGTCACGTGATCGAGATGGTCGATGTGTTTTTGTGGTAGTGTGTGGTTGTGAATCCGTGGTCGTGGATTTTTTGGATGTATATTTTGCTATTAAGTGATTTTAAATCACTTACGCTAAGGTAAATAATATTTTTATCTATACTTCGTTTTATACTTTTTTAATTTTTAGATTTATTTGGGAAAATTTGTAGCTGTTCTCAATCCTATTCAAGTATTTCGTTTTAACATAACATCGAATACATTAGTTTGGACGTTTCGCGTAGTGTTGTTTTGAATATTTGTTTGGAATAGTACATTAGGAATTCCTTATTTTTGATTATTTCTTTCTAATAGGCATATTTGACATTCTGTCCCAATAAAAGAAACTTTATCACCACAAACATTTCAGGCATTAATAACAACTACAGATGCATTCATTCAATTGATTCCATGTTTGTTTCAAAAGTATGAAGCTGAATACATATTGTTAGGAAAATTTCAAACTGATCTCCTGAATCACGTTTTGAAATGTATCGGCAAATGTCAGGTTCAGATTATTAAATAAATGACCTACAATTATTAGAAAATGAGAAGAAGCTTCGTTTTATAAATTTAATTTCATCAAATATGAATGTCCCTTTTACTAGATTATGATAAGGATTCTATCTTTACTTTTGCGAATATTAATTGATTATTCAAATTTACTAATTAATGATTTTTTTTATAGAAAATGTTTCTTCTGATATTTTAGCAGTGCTAGTTTATGTTTCAGGTTATGATGCCATGAAAAAATTAAGGGTGATAAAATGCAATATTTGCCAGGACTTGTTGCAAAGTATTCATTCAGTAGATACAGCAGATGATATTTTTGGTTTTCTTAAAGAATTAGATAAGGGGGAAATTAAAAATTTTCCATCTGAAGTTACTCTATTAAAATCTTCAATTGTATATTTCTTATTTGGTGAAATTCTTAAAAAACATGGAAAACGCATTTCTTATGCCAGGAAAGCAAATGGATATTTTATATAAGTTATCTTGCATACGGTTAGTACACTATACAGTTACTTTAATTTAACAGATTCTTGCACTTGTGGAATGACTTTACAAACTCGGTTAGAAAATATGTTTGATAACTTGTAAAATAATGTTAAATAATTATACAAAATATAAAAATGACAAAATTAATATAAAATGTTCATATAAAAATGTTAAAAAATTTAATTAATTTCAGTTAATAACTCAATTGTTTATTTTGATTTATGCTTTGTTTCTGCATAGCTTATGTATAATATGTAGCATGTATGTATATGGTACAGCTCCCAAGTTTTATGAATTTAATTTTAATAGTGGTATAGGCCTGTAATTTGGGAAAATCACTTTAAAAAAAACCAAGCCTAATCACTTATCTCTTGGATGGTTTGGAAAAAGTGATTCAACATAAAATTGGAACTGGTACAAATAGATGGCTATCCTTTTTTATGAATGCAATTAGCATTTAGCTCTTTGAAATTATCTTGAAAGATTTATTTATAGTATAACGTGCATGTAATTTCATCTTTATATTCAAATTTTCTAGCATTTAAGGAATTTTAATTCATTTTCCTGTTTTGATAAAATTGAGATATGCAGATTTTATTAGTGAATGGAGTGAAGAGAGATGACTATGGGTATTTGACTTCTAAAAATTTATATAGCTGATGCGATGGTAGCGGCATGGAGTTTTACAAAATAATTCTTCCCTTAATATTTATTTTACTAGTATGAAAATCTAAAATTTGCATCCATAAATCTATTGAATTCCCCCCTTATGTGGATTTTATATTATTTTGGCAATAAATTTGATTCAGATTACATAAATGAATTTCATTTTTATCAAAATTACATAAAGTTCGTATGTGGTGATTCTCAATGATATTTTTAGTTACATAAACGAAGTACAAATTGTTTAAAAAATTATTGAAGATATGCATTTTTACCGCCTGTAAAAATATTGCACTATGAAAAATTTAATGTTAATCATACGACCTACTCACGTTTATTAATTTACTTATTTATTTTAAGACAAACTACTCTTTTCGGTAAAGTTTAACTCCGGGATTATGGTAAAGAGAAAGAAATCGACTATTTCGATCACGTGACCTTTCTTTCCTTGAATTCGCTTCAAGGCCATGATACAGTCGGCTGTGTTTTTGCTGTATGATCTTGCAAATACTCTTTTGACATGCAAATATTACGTTTATGTTGTACATTTTGTGTAAAAAGCATATTAAAATTAGTTTTATTAGATTTGTATGTTTATTACCTCCTACGTTCTTTGTCCAGCTAAAATTTTCAAGCATTTCCTTTATTAACTAGTATGATCAATTATTGCCAATACTTTTTTTACCCACTGTAGGTAAAAAGACAGAAAAAAGCTTAGTAAAGGTAAGATCAGACTGGTAGACTGCGAGGTCAGCGATAGCATAAAAAATCTTAACAAAACCTTTTGGATGACCATGTTTCAGATTTTATTATTTTTTAATATCTCAATCTAAATAATTATTGGTAGACTTTTCTTACCGAAATTTGCAAAGATCCGTTGTGTTAAATTTGAAATGTTATATTTCTCAAGAACTGCATCTGATTGTTATTTTAACCCCAAAAGGCGTTAGCTCAAAAGGGCTATTAATTTCGCTTCGAGATTTTGTGGCGTTTCCCTATTAACAGCGTTCCACTTTTCAAATTGTTGCCTCCAAATATTATTGCCCTGTATTATATTTAAAAATTAAATGGAGAAAAATCTGCATAAATGTATGTATATTTCTGGCAGCATACATATTTTGTATGTTTCTCGCATTGTGATAAAACAACGGTACCTCGAGCCATCAAATTCTGAATTACGTACGTCTCCACCCGAATATGGGCATTTGAAAGCCCGAATTTGAATTAGTTTCATTATCTATTTCATATTTTGTAAAGTATTTGAGTTTTTGATTAACAAACTGAATGATTTCAGAGCGAGCAATGGCAACATTGTACGGGAAAAAAAAATCTGATGTGTACACCACATGACTTCCTTGTACGGAAAATTAAATTATACGCATTTTTTCTTGCATTTTATTTAAATTTATTAGATTGAATTAAACCTACTTCGCCGACAGCGCATAAACCACAATAGCATAAATGCTTTCTTTAAAATTCACTTTGTTTACCATAGCGACACTCTGGCGCTAGGTTCATTAACAGTATTATATTTCGTTCATATTATAACTCAGAATACACAAAATGTATGTCATTTAAAGAATTATCTAATCGTTGCCACATGTTCTATTCAAATATTATAATGAAGTCGAACTATGTATAAAAGAAATTAAGCAAAGAAAACAAAGAGATTTTTTTCAGACGATTGAGTATTTCTCATTTAATTCAGTTCTCACTTTGGGAGAACGCAAAAATACATAAAAACTCAAAATATCTGTATTAAAAATTACGAAGTAAATCTCAAACGCTTATTTCCTCGAAAAAATTCCATAAAGAATTAAGCATGATTTAATTGGCAATAATAACTGAAGGCGTTATCTTTGTTTTTGCGAAGCTAAGTTTCTCTAGATTGGCAACAAATCGACTAGTCTCCTGTTTCAAATGTAAGCCCACCAGCGGCTCAGCGGTAAAATCGCTGAACACTGGTAGTTCGGTCCGAGGTTCGAATCCCGCGAACGGGCTGGCTGCATGGGTGTTTTCATGGTTTTCCCCATGTGTAACGTGTATACGAGCCAGTTTCCCTTAAAAAGTCCTCCACGAAGGCATCCCTTCTCTAGGCAGATAGCCCTCGAGGCTTTGCCATAATCACACACACCTGTTTCAAATGTAAACATCAATGGTCGCCATTATAAACAGGCTTAGCGGCAATTAAACAACCTTAAAATTGCTGATAATTCTAAAAATATTGCACACAGATTTACTAAAGGCATAAAATCCTTAACCGGAAGATAAAAACAACATAATTCAATCATTTTTAAAGCAAAAAATGTACAATTTACAAACATGTAAGAGTAAAGAAACTGAGATCACTGAGCCGGGTAATAAAGTGGATATATATATATATATTTATATACGTTTGGTGCGGCCGATTGCAACCAAAATAAGAGGTGCACATCTACATGTTACAGCAGTCCTATATACAAAATTTCAACGTTCTGAGGCTACTCGTTTTGAGTTATGCGAGATACGTACGTACGCATGAACGTATAACGTTCGTACAGACGCCACGAAAAATTCTTTCAGAATTCATTTTAAAGCAGTTTATAATTTTTTTGAAGGAAAAGAGTATTTTGTTTGTCCTTACGTACAGATATCACGCAAAAAACATCGTTTAAATTGCATTCGATAGCGGTCAAAATGGATATTTTCGTTAAAATATGCTGCCTGAAATTTTTCGCGATTACAATACTTCCTTTTTACTTCGTACAAGGAAGTAAAAACGAAAAATTACCTTAATTATTACTTTAATTAGTATAGCGTGCGAGAGTGTGGATTGGAAATTCTAAAGATATGCTGTTTTAAAATTATTTTGTGATACTGCTGTTGAATTGAGTTTATGGTTGAAGTGCCAAGAGCATGATATTTAATAATTAAAAGTAACACACAACTTTTAAAAAATCATTTTGGACGTAATATAAAATCTGAAAACTTTCAGATGTTTTTATATTTTATTTTAAACTAACCAAGTTATATTTTCTAGTTCCCTACTTGAGACCAGAAATCACAAATTCTTCATTTATTATTGAAGCTACTGAAATCACTAAAATCTCACCTGACATTAGAACAGTAACTCTTTATTGGAAGGTAAGATTTTTCAGTGTCCTCTATCTAAACTGCACAATCCCTACAATTTCAATTTTTCTCTTTTAACCTTGAACATTTTACAGAGCATACCTGCTGCTCACGAAAATGGACCAGACTTCCAGTATATGATTAGAATTTCATCTCAAAACCGGCTGCAAAGGACGGCCTCTGTTGGCAATGAAACATCTTATAGTTTTGAAAAATTGAGAGTGAACTTATGCTACAAGTTCGAATTATTTGCCAGCAATAGTGTTGGGCCTTCCTCCAATATTTCAACAATAGTTATTGAAGCAGATAAACGTAAGTTCCTTTTCTTAGTTTATTTGGATTTGTTAGAAATTCTGATAAAGTGATATTCTGATTCTCTTGGGCTGCAAAACTGGCATAACTCGAAGAATCCACATTTTGAGTTATGACCGTTTCATACATTGTAAAATCGTTTTCTTCGCGGCAGCAGCACTATCCACGTATATTAGCGCAGTACGGCAATAAAAAGTGGCTATTGTCTTTGTTGCATTCGTTGGTTTCTTGCTTAGTTTGACTGCAATACCGACATTTCAGTTTTTGCCAAGTGCTTGGCGAGAGCGCTGCACGTTCTGTCCATCCATATTGACCATTCTTTAGTTGTTCATCGAAATCGGGCCACATATATGTTACATCTCATTAAGCCTATTTAATTACAATGCCTATAATTGGACTATTTCTTTTAAAAGAAATCGATTTTAAAATTTCCGGCTAATCTTTGGAATATGGTACCAAGTAGTTTGGCGACATTTTGGCAAGGCGATAAAGGTTACTAGCTAGGACTTTAGCAGTGTACATGGATTAAGTCAAGAGTGTGCGCAATGCCATTTTTGTGCAATTATGGGATGTTTTTTTAAGTGAAAGTAGGTCGACGTGTACATGGATACCGTGTATGTGCAATTCTTAAAAACGCGGCAAGCAGTGGGCAATTCTGCACTTTCTCCCAATTTCGCACCTAATCTTCGTCGTGATTAAGCACTTTTGTTCCATAAAAGTTCTAGCATAAGCGTAATTCGGCTAGCAGATTGTCAAAAAAAAAAAAAAAAAAAAAAAAAAAAAAAAAAAAAAATTGAGTTAAAAAAAAGCCTTAACTTCGTGAAAACGAAATGGCGTCCAAAAAAATAGCAGTTTGCTGTAGCAGGGTTGGTCGCCAAATTTTCGCCAAAAAATCGCCAAGTTACCATAATTCGAAGATTAACCAAATTCCAATGCATCTAGACGCAGAAAATTTTGCAGTGCCTCCAAAAAGTAGTACTGAAAGCTATGATTTTTTCAATATATCAGAACAAGTTTGACGACAATTTTGTTGCTGTCATAAAGCTGTTGTTGCTGGCGATTAGTATAATGTTATCACTATAGTAGTTCGTTCTCTTAAACAAGACCACTATTTAACAATTCAGCAAGGAAGGCCAGACATGCACAAATTTTTGAAATTGTCAGTTCTGTGTCATTGTCAGTCGAACGATATTCAAAACAAAGTTGTGTCTTTGTGCCATTTTCAGTTCTGTGTCATTTATAATGACAGTTAGTTCTCACGATCTGGACAGTTATCAGTTTCTATAGGTTTTTCGTACAATCTGTCAACTTCAGTCTTCTGTAATAGCCATTTCGAAGTCTGACAATGGTTCTAGTTATAAGCCGATGTCCATTGGTGTTATGGAGCTGGTGCTTTATTGAATGTTCCTTCAATATGTATTTAGCCACTGCATTTGCACCCGAGAGGATGACATATTTTGAGCCTCTTTTGCCAGTTTATCTGCTTTCTCGTTAACTGTGATGTTAACGTGCGTTGGCAACCATTGAAGAATGCAGAATTTGTCAAACTTCAGAAGCTCGTTTAGACGAAAGTGGATGCCCCTGATGATCATGGAGCTTCCATCCAGGATTGCTCAACGGTCCTGAACACTTTCGCTTTAGCGATGTCAATCAGTTTCTTTTGATTGCATAGTTCTAGTAGGTAAGTACTAGTTTAGAGTTCTTAGAAAGCCTGGAATAGTGTGTTGGCTCTTGGAAGATGGAAAATTTGTTGGGATTGACGCTGATAACTGCTCTAATATCTATCAAATTGCACAGAAGATGATCCTTTTAGTCTAGTGCTGCTATTATGGTTTTCAAAGGTTCTCATAGCTAGGTGTTCTGGTACTTGCTTTGTTTTTAAGATTTATTATATTATACTGTCTTCTTGTATTGTTTTTAATTTATTATATTATAGTATCTTCTTGCTTTGTTTTTAAAATTTATTATATTATATTGTCTTCTTTTTGCTGAGGGCCTTTGAGATCACATTCCTAACGATTTGCCACATTCATGACGATTCAATACCAAATTTGACGATCGGCAAGGTGCAATCGCCAGCAAGGCAATACTGACCTGTTGTTTAGCATTTTGAAACAATCTAAAATCGAATTGCAAAAATAAGTTCTATTTTGAAACTTATAATAATATAGGTTACTTTATGAAAATTGTTTACCTTCCTTTGAATTTTGGTCAAATGATGTATCACTAAAACATTTAGAATGTTATTTTATAATTCTATGGTACACGTCACAATGTAGTACCATTACTAGTTTAAAGGGATTTGAGTCCCGAAGGACTATTACTTTCGTTTTGGCATTTTGCGTCGGACTCCTATAAATGTCGGTTCACTTTTCAAACTGTTGCCACAAAATGTTAGTCCTGCATTATATTTTAAGAAATTAAATAATGAAAAATCTGCATAAATGTATGTATATTTCTCGCATTGTGATAAAACAACGGTATCTAGAGCCATCCAAATTTGAATGACGTAATCCTACTGGGAATATGGGCATCTAAAATCCCAAATTTGAAATTTGGAATTTGTTTTATACCGATTTCATATTTTCTAAAACTTTAACGAATTTTTGAGTAACAAACTCAACGATTTAAAAGCGAGCAATGGCAACACTCTCCAGCGCGACGAACTGTGTATCGGAAATTCTAAAGATATGCTCATTTTTAAAATTATTTTGCGACATTGCTATTGAACTACATTTTACGGTTTAAGTGCAAAGAACGTGATATTTAATAAAGGTAACACACAAAACGTTAAAAAAATAGCCTTTGGACGTAGTAATTTAAAATCGGAAACATTTCAATTTTCCTTTTTAAATTTAATTTCTTGTCTCTAAATGTTTTAATAATTATGAATCCCTTGAACATCCGTTGTAGCCGAATGTAATATGAAATTAATTATTAAACATTAAAATGTATAGCATTTTATAATTATTATTAACTGAACTCATTTGAAGAATTTTAGAAATACTTTCCCTTTAATCCATCAGTTAAAGCAAGCAAACTTAAAGCGTTGAAAATTTTATTTTTCGCGTTATGCCAGTATTACAGATATACGCAGCGAGTTGTGAAAATTACCTCGCGTAAAATAAAAGGGAACTTCAGAAATGTTTCTAAAAGGAGAATGGTTAAATATTTAAACCTGTTAGACTATGAAATGCTAATTTTTATATCTAAATTATGAATATTAACTTTTTGCATACTTTCATTAGAATTCATGTACTCTGCTGGGAAAAAAAATCTCGCAGTTCTATTAAGCCCATTGAAGAAATTCAGCTTGCGTTTTTCATGCCTCGAAAGCGCGACTTAGGATATGTATTAGATTTATATATAGCAGTGTTCTAATAATATAGGTATTTTGATACAAAATCGGACTATTTCTCAAATCGAATGCCAATCTTTTTCCATATTTCGATTCTACGACTCAAATTATGCCAAACTGCCAAGTTTTGTAAAAATACCACGAGTATATTTTAAGAAATTAGCTCTCAAAATTTTAGCTCCTCAATGTTAATTGAATTTGGTATATAATTATTAATATCGCTTTTTATTAAACTTATTCTATTCTTCCTTTCACATTTCGAAATTTAGGTTCATTCCAAATAAAATTCGCCCATGTTTTATGATTTATTTTTAAAATTTGTATCTTTAAATTTTTTTTATAAAATTTTCGAAAAACATTTTGAATTATACCTCTAAAATTTTTACCATCGTCAAGTAGATGCATACCTGCAAAAAATCAGATCTTTTATTCAAAATTTCGTAAGAAATACGTAAATTTACATATTGGCGCGTTTTTAAATTTGGCGTATTAGATATAAGGGATAATAACGTCAAATGTGGTTTACGCGCTTTGCTAAAATTTGAGAGTATGAACGATGACTTCCCCTCGTGTAGAATAAAAAAAAAAAAAAAAAAAAAAAAAAAAAAGGAAAGGAAAAATAGGTGGCAGTAACTTAAGTAATTCGCCAAATGAGCACTTTTGGCGCAAACTGAAAAAAATGGCCAAAAGTAATTTTTTTTATTTTTACCATAAATTTGGAACCAAATTTTCCGAATTTTAATATTTGGGTATAGAGTCGCAGGATGTAAATATGGAAAAAAATTGGCATGTCATTTCAGAAAAAGGTAAGTTTTTGTGTCAAAAATACCGCTATTAGAATAATGCTATATATAAATCTAATATATAACCTAAGTCGCGCTTTTGAGAAATGAAAAACCCAATTTGAATATCGTCAATCGGCTCGGTGGAATTAAAGATATAGAACTGACCCTTTTGCCCCCTCGCAGTGTGGCATATGTAAATTTATCTCCAGTTAGCAAATGGTCTTATTTGTAAAATGCTTAATTTATATCTATCGATAGTTAAACACAGTAATTTATTTATCGTGCTACAGGGTACTACGAATATTTACTTTGATTACAGTATTTGACTTCACTAATTGAACTTCGCACGCTGTAGTTCTGATAACACTTGCCAACACTGCCTACGTACGAAAATCCTCATCTGTTTGTAAGCTCGCCCTGCTTATAAAGCAGCTGAGATAACAGTAACTTCAAAAATTGTTAAAATATAAAGCTTTCCCAGACTTCACTTTCTTCGGTTGTAAAAATATGCAGTTATTTGAAATATATTAAAAAGTAGTCTCAAAATTAATGAAATAAATTAATGAAGTAGCCAACACACATTAAAGGCTTAAAAAGCCGATTAGACGTATATCTGCAGTTTAGCAGTGAATGCAAAGGTTAAGCCATTAACTGCCAAATTTTTTTTCTCACAATTTACATTTATTTCTGGATGTCTAAATTGAGATACACTGGAAATGGGAATATATATTGAGTTTGCCCGTGAACCCGAACTGAGAATCTACATTCAAGTAGACCTCACCGGAAAATAAAATTTACATTGACAATAAAAAATTAGTAAATATATTCTAAAACAATTAGAGAACGCGGCAGTACACAGGAGTAGGAAATGATGTATATAATATGACATACCGCGTTTTGAAATCTTAACTCTCAAATTTTATTTCCCACAGATAACTCTCCAGTTCACTCATGTAACAATTAATACTCAGCCACTCATTAAAAAGTTTGAAAAAGATTTAAACAACAATGTAAAAAAGTAACCATTGTTGCCAACGCAATTAAAGTTACCAAATTTCCGCTACTAAGACATATCCTTAAATGGAGATCATGGCAATTAATGTATTAAAAGAGCAGATTTGTTGAAAAGTAAGGAATGCACTTAAATAACCTAGCAAATGAGGAAAAAAAAAGTTGTGCAGTTCCGAGACACCATCCAGCGTTAGTTTTTATCTTGATTCGAACGGAATTCAGGGGCGTAGCTAGAGGGGGGGGGCATCTGTCCCCGGCGCAGAATCCAAGGGGCGCCAAACTGGTGTTACGACATTTTAGAATTAAATCTTATCCATCCTTGGCAAGCAGTAGGGGGCGCGAAATCTACAGTTGTCCCTGGGCGCTGAAAACCCTAGCTACGACTCTGCAGAAATCCATCATCGCAATGCCTTGTTTTTTGAAATCTACTTCTTGACTGGCCCATGCAGTAGTTTGGACATCCAAATGAAATACCGAAGAAGACAATCCCTGGAAACTTATTCTCAGGAATTGTCGCGTGTTGCATTTGGTGTTTCCGAATTCAATACGGCATTTTTATGGAATAAAAATAATTTATTGTATACTTAAGCATTATTGATTCTACAAATGTATACCAATTTTGTTTTAGTGATTGATGGACCCAAGGAAATCATCGTGCGTTCAGACGGAAGTGAATACAATATTCGCTGGAAAGCTCCGGAAATTGCAGTGAAATTTTACACTTTGTTTTGGTGTGAAAGAGCAGTGCGACGTCGTGGAGGATGTGTAGGTTCTCTGGAATGGTTGCATCTATCAGAGACTAAACACGTTCTCAAACTGTCTGATAGCAAGCTTTATCAGTTCGCGGTGTCTGCAAATACCGAAGATCGGACATCAGGAATGGTTGAGGCTTCTTGCCATTTTACTAGTGTTAATGTATTTTCCTACGCACCTCATATTTGTGAGCGCTTGATACAAATCATTTCTGCGAACCCAAGTCTTAGCTTTTTATACATATGAACGAAACGGAATTTCATTCTATGAAAGTTTTATTCTTTTATTCTGAAGCTTTAAAAAGATATTTTAATGTGAATGATTGAATTTTTATTCCATATTTCTCAAATAAGTAATAAAAATCTTACTTTAGTTCTTTTCAATTGTGATTTCAAATTTTTTAGACTACACATTAATTCACCTCGCTTTTTAAATGATACTGGGAAGATTTCAAATGCTTTTTTAGTAATTACCTATTTGTTTAGTAACGGCTGTTAATGACAAGTGAAACTTTCTGCAGTGTATTACTAAATGTTATAAAAGTAATTTTAATTCATCTCCTGTTCGTTGTAACATAAATTTTAACAATTTGATGTGATTATTACTGTAACTTTCTCTGAATAAAAACATCAAAAATCAAATTATTAGAAATTTATTTTCTCAAGATGATGCATATCAAATGCCAGTCCTCTTTTATATGAAACTAGCGGAAGTACCTGATGTCAGTTAAGTTAGATTCAAAATAATGTATCTAATAACAGAGAACGATACATCTGTAATCCTTCTCTAATAATGATGCAAAAAATACGATTCATAATCATACATATTTTAGTTTGATGCGATATGAAACCGACATAAAAAATTTCAATGAAATTTCAAATAAAAAAAATAATTCTCTTTCATATCAGCAACCAAGGCACGCAGGTCTTAATGATTTTCGTCTTTCTAATCAAATGGTCATAAAAGCTAAAGTTCCATCCAATATTTCACATACAGTCGCTCAAACAATTGAGGATACACTTTACTTTCATTTCATATTTCCAACTTTCAATGGAAATAATACATTAACTAGAAGAGAATGTGTTTTTGTTTTCACACGCAAGAAAAGTGTTAATTTACAGTAAAAAATAACGAACATCAACAAAAAAGTATCTAAAATTAAAAATTTCAATAGTATTATTGAAATAAACATAGGCAGATCTTTACCTCAAAAGATTAAGGATACGCCAATGAAATTTTTGTGATATATCACATATAAAGACAGTGTTAATATTTGGTTGCATGTCCTTTGACTTTCATAATGTCCTCCAAACGTCTTGGTACCGATTCGACCAATTTTTTGGTGGTATCCGGATATATGTTATCCCATTCTTGTAACACTTGCTTTTAAATGGGCTTTGCTCCTAATTTGGTGTTTCTGGACCGCTGTTTCGAGTGTGGCTCACAAATTTTCTATGACATTGATGTCAGGGGACTGTGGTGGTGTTTTCAATTGCTGTTTACAATGAAAAAGACACCGCATTTTGACATTATGTGCCGTGTGTTTGGGGTCGTTGTCGTGTTGGAATATAAAATTTCCATTTAAACGCAATTTTTTTTTTTGCTTTCTTTAAGATTGTTGTGAAGTATATCTATATAAAGCGTATGATCCATTATGCCATCTATAAAAACTAAATTTCCTACCCCATTTGAAACCATACAACCCCAAACCATGACGGAGCCACCACCATGTTTAACTGTAGGACGTAAATGTTTTGGATCCAAAGCGGTGTTCGCCTTTCTCCAAACGGTGCGACGGCCATCATTTCCAAAAATGTTGAATTTACTTTCATCACTAAATATAACTTTCTTCCAAAAGTTATTTGTCTTCAATTGATGAGATTTTGCAAACTCCAAACGCTTTTTCTGATTTTATAAGCTTATAAATTGTTTCTTTCTAACCAATCGACTGCTATATCCAGCATGTCTAATCGAATTTCTCAGTTTCAGCACTTGCACTTCTGCACATTATTCGAGAAGTTTCTGCAGCTAGTTTGATTGCACTTAGTTTAGGATCAATCTTGATATCTTTCAAAATTTTCCTTTTGTCTACATCATTCAGAATACTTTTCCTTCCTCTTCCACTTTTATTTTCAATTAATCCATCGCTTTTAAATCTGTACACACGAGTGGCTTCTACCGACAATTTCAGCTATTCCACGATAAGATTTTCTTTTCTTAAATAACCTTAATATATAAATTTTCTTACATTAATACTGGTCTCTCTCCGAGGAGCCATTTTCCATTTCAGATTGCGACTTTAAATTCACATAACCATCTTCCAAAGACAAAAATAACAGTCGAAAAAGTTTAAGATAAAATTGCCCAAACTTTGATTATGATGGTAGCAAGCAGAAAAAAAAATCTAGTGGTAGTTAAACAAAAATTTCATTGGTGTATCCTCAGTTTTTTGAGGTAAAACTCTCGTTATGTTTATTTGAAATGCCTCTGAAAATTTTTATTTTAGAATTTTGTCGTTGATTTTTCTTTATATTTACTGTTAATTAAACCTTTTGTTATGTCTAAGAATAAAAGTACGTTTGCACTTCTAGTTAATGTGTTATTTCGATTGAAAGTTGGATTTATCCTCAATTGTTTGTGCCATTGTATATTCAATTTTAATCGATCAAATGTGGCAAAACATTGATCATAATTGATCAAAAATCAATAACGCAAATAAACAAGCACATAAACAGGCTTTCTTCTCTGTAAAACGTGCACATTTTTTATTAATAGAATCGATGATTTGAAAGCAACACTTTTCGAAATAAAACATTTTTATCTCCAACTCATAAGACTTTTACCATTCGGAAAAATGAATGCGAAAATTAGTGTTGTCAGAGTTTTTAATTAATATCGAGGCTGGTTAAAGTGCGAAAATGGGAACAGCCTAAATGGCTTCCTGCGAATTTTTTGAAATCTGAAAATATGTATTTCATGTTTGTCAATGCTATTTTTATTTCATTGTAAAACTTGGAAATTTTTTATTAAACTCTAAAATTTGAAAGCAAGCAATGGCAACACTTCTCGAAATAAAGCAGATTTTTATCTCCAGCATGCTAGACTGTTGTCACTCGGAAAAATGAAGACGAAAATTAGGCGTCTTACAGAGGTTTTAATTAATGTCTCTGATTTTTAGCTATTGTTTTTGAAAAAAGTGGACGTCAACCTTTCCCAGGATCCAGAAACGAATTGTAGAAGATTTTGTGACGATAGCTACAGTAGTGACTGAGTTAATCCCGAACAAACACATAAACATTCTTTATATATAAAGATGAATTTGTATTAGATTAATTTTTATGCATAAATTAATTTTCAGATATTCAACCTTTGATTTTGAGCATTTCAAATAGCTAGTGACTTAAACACTATAGTGACTACTTAGTTGAGCTGTGTAATTCAAACATATACAAAATTTTGGATAGCTTGTGGTAACAAAATGAGTTTCATTGTATTGCATTCCTTGATAACAAAATGAGGTTCATTCTGTTGTATTCCTTTACATGTAAATACCGTTTCATAGATGCAGGGAATATAATCTTTTTGAAACATTCACATAGCACAAAAACATCCTTGGGATATCCCGAGGATGTTGCTCGCGGGATATGCGCACATCCTCAGGACATCCCGGAATATCCCTCAAACCTCCTAAACATCTCCTCCCGAGTGCTTAATGTCATATCCCAGCACATCCTAAATAAGTCCCATCGATAGCATACGGGATATTATTAGGATATGAAATCCTGCTTACTACATCCTCAGGACATCCCACTAACCTCCTAAACACATCCCATTATATCCTAAGAACATCCTATCTATGTCCCATGCACAGTGTATGGGATGTTATTAGGATTTAAAATCCTACTTACTACATCCTCAGGACATCCCGTAATATCCCAATTTCCTCCTAAACTCATCCTCCTGAGTGCTTAATGTCATATCACAGTATATCCTTACGACATCCTATCTAGGTTCCACCGGCAGCGTATGGGATGTTGTCAGGATTTGAAATACTAGTTACAATATCCCTTTAACCTCTTAAATACATACTCTCAACTGCTTATCCCAGTATATACAGAGCAAACTTCCAGTGAAAGTATGTGAAGGTGTTGTGATGATCTAAAACCTACTTATTTTACAGAGTCTCAAATCCTTCTCCTATGGTTACTATGGAAAAATCAGAAATGTTGAGAATATTTATGCAACTTATTTTGTTTTGTGCGGTTTGGTGCGAAATAATCGCACACAAAAATTTGATGACCCAAAAGAGATTTTTAATCTTACTTCCTCATGAACATTTTGACAATTAAGGACAAATATAACCGCAAATAGTAACCCAGGTTCGTTTAATGTAAAGCAATTTCAAGTCTCTTAAATATGCTGATGTTGGTAGAAAGCATAACCTAAATAACATAACCTTACTATACAATTCCAAGGACATAATTACCCTGTTTAACATAGTAAATACACAAGAAAATCGCAACTGAGGACTTCATCTTATATAAAGAAACATAAAAAAATTTCAAAATCAATTTTACACTGAAAGTAGGGGAACTTAACGTCTTCAGATTTCGGAGTTGTACACCATTGAATTCCCATTTATCCACCACACATGGAGAATCAAATAGCAGTCTCTTCGTAATACTCCAAAGTCCGTATCGTCGCACATCACACTGTCGGAAGCTGATTTTCTGATTCTGGAATTTTGCCGTTTACACTCTACTCTTCTTCCACCTATTCATTACGTCTCGAAATGTTTCGTTGATCTTCGTCCAGGGACTCATAATTTCGGGAACTCGACATCCCTAGGTCTAGAAATTTGGTAAACTGCGCAAAAACAAAGGACAGTTCTATATCTTCCCTTTCTACTGGACCGACTGACGAAATTAAAATTGCGTTTTTCATGTTTCGAAAGCGACATTTAAGATATGTACTAGATTTATGTATAGCATTGTTCTAATATAGGTCATTTGACACAAAATCGGACTTTTTCTGAAATGGCATGCTAATTTTTGTCCATATTTCGATTCTACAACTCAAATTATACCTAAATATTAAATTCTGTAAAATTTGGTGCGATAGTTACGGAGAAACAAAAAAAAAAAAAAAATTATCTTGGCGCATTTTTTTCAGTTTGCGCCAAGAATAATTCACTTGGCGAACTTCTTAATTTATAGCAAGATATTTCCTTTTTCTTTTCTTCATTGTCCACGAACGAAAAAAAAGTCATCGTTCATACTTTCAAATAATTTTAACGAAGTACATAAACCATAATTTCGTTATTATCGCTTATAATAAGTACGCCGGATTTCAAAACGCGCCGAAATGTTAATTCACGCATATCTTAGGAATTTTTTTAAAAAATCTCTAATTTTTTGCAGGTATGCTTAAAGATGCATCTACTTTAAAATGATAGCAAAAATTTTAAAGATTACAATTAAAACTTTTTTTCGAAAAATTTACAAAAATTATTTAAAAATACAAATTTTAAGAACAAATCATTAAAAATAGGCGAATTTTATTTGGAAATGAACCTAAATTTTGAAATGTGAAAGGGAGAATCAAAAAAAGTTTAATAAAATAAGAGATATTA